TTGCCATGAAGCATGGCTCTAGCCATGTCCTGAAGGACACGATTCTTCCTTTCCACTACCCCATTTTGTTGAGGAGTAATAGGGGAAGAGAACTCCTGCATTATCCCTTCATCCATACAAAAACTCTCAAGATTGAAATTCTCAAATTCTTTTCCATGGTCACTACGCATCCTAGACACTTTGAGATTCAGTTCATTGCTAAGCCATTTACACAGAGACTTTATGAGGTTACAAGCATCAGATTTTTCCCTAAGCAATTCTATCCAAGTAAACCTCGAGAAGTTGTCTACAACAACAAGGATGTATCGCTTACCACCTAGACTCTCAGTCCTAGAGGGTCCCATCAAATCCATGTGTATCAATTCCAGGGGTATTTTGGTCAGAATTTTAGTAGTCTTCTTATGGCTACCCTTGAGTTGTTTACCTAGTTGACATGGTCCACACACAACATTTTCACTAGGACCTATCTTAGGCAACCCATCTACCAATTCTTTCTTAGCCAATTGTTCTAGACTCTTATAGTTCAAATGACCTAATCTTTTATGCCAGAGCTCACTCACATCGATTTTAACACTCCTACACACATAGTTAGAATTAGGTAATACCCCATAACAATTGTCAGATGTCCTAACCCCTTCATGGACTACCCCACCGGATGAATCATATACGGTACATCTCTTCTGCACAAAACTAACCTCAAAGTCATCATCACAGATCTGACTAATGCTTAACAAATTTGACTTTAAACCGTCCACATACAACACATTAGAGATCACAGGCAAATCATGCATTTGTACGGTACCTTTGCCAAGAATAGGTGCAGAGCCCCCATTTCCAAAGGTAACCATACCACCATTACATTCATCAAGAGTAGTAAACAGAGATTTATTACCACACATATGTCTAGAGCATGCACTATCCAGGTACCACATATTAGAATTTTGAGCCTTTAAAGCAACATGAGCAACAAAAGAGTTTTCTCGACCTGAAGGTCTACCTAGATCACTCTTTTTGACCCAAACCTTTTTAGATGAAAACGTACTCTTAGTTAGCCTAGTAAGCATCTCAGTCAAGTGACTCACCTGATTAGACAGAAAGCTAACCTGACTAGGAATGTTTTGACTTCTACGCTCATTGCCTAACTTGTAACATCTAGGCCTAGTGTGTCCTAGAGCACCACAGTGGTGGTAGGTGGGAATGAACCTAGGCTCAAAGGTACATGTGTCTGGGTACCTAGTCCTGATGTTCCTACGTGATTGCTGACTCTGTTCTCGAGGAACACTCCTACCATTACTTGGACTCCTAATAGCATTAGACTTAGAGGCAGCCACGAAGACAGTCTTAGATGGTCCAGCGATAGTTGTATTACCCTCAACATATCCTAGACCTCTCTTCTCTCCTACTGGCTTATTCATTCCCAACAGGTTATCTAATTTCTTAGTTCCATTTATGAATGTCTGAAGATGAGCATTAGATTTCTCCAATTCACTAGTCAAACTCTTAACCTTATCTTCCAATTTCTCATTGACACATTTTAACTCACTACCACTCTTAAGTGACTCCTGAAGCTTACTACCCAGTTTCTCTTTTTCCCTTTCAAGTTCGTCAACCTTTTTAAGCAGGGCTTCATTGACCTTCTTTATTTTAAGACTCTCCTTAAACAACTGTTGATACGCTTCTTGTAAGTCTATGTCATCCTCATCCTGAATTATCGTTTGAATGTTCTTCCTCAACCTTGTCACTTTCCTTATCAGATTCACTCTTCACAATAGCCACAAATGCCATATAATTTCCTTCATCGTCATTACTAGAGGATTCCTGCCTATCACTAGTCTCAGATTCATTATCAGTAAGAGAGACAACTAAGGCCTTACCTTTCCCTTTTCTTTGATTTTTCTTATAGCTAGGACATTCATTCCTATAGTGACCTATTCCTTGACACTCATGACATCTAACCAAACGTGGCTTCTCACTTGACCCTTTATTGTTAACTTTCTCAATTTTATCTTTTGTGAATCTGCTAGGGGCTCCACTCTTTCTATCCTGAGGCTTTCTCCTATTATTGTGGACTTTTTGAAATTTCTTAACAAAGTATGCAATATCCTCATCCCTAAGTGACTCCGTATCAGACGATTCATCTTCTTTAATGGATTTTAGGGCTATAGACTTTCCTCTCTTATGTTGTGAGAGAGTGAGTTCATAGGTTTGCAATGATCCTACCAATTCTTCGATCTTAACTTCATCTAGGTCCTTACTTTCCTCAATGGCAGTGACTTTAGGCCTAAATCTCTCAGGTAGGGATCTAAGTACTTTTCTTACAATTTTAGTCTCGGGAATTCTCTCACCTAGGTTGAAACTAGAGTTAACTATATCATTTAGTTTAGCATAAAACTCATCAAAGGTCTCATCATCTTTCATCCTTACTTCTTCAAACCTAGAGGCTAGCATTTGCAATTTTGAGTTCTTTACTATCATAGTTCCCTCATGTGTAGTTTCGAGAATGTCCCAAACCTCTTTAGCAGTTTCGCACATAGAGACTCTCCTAAACTCTTCTGGAGATAGAGCCATGAATAATGCATGAATTCCCTTACTATTCCAATTACAAGCAGCTAATTCATCTTTAGTCCACACAGATATGTCAGTAAGGTGAATGTTTCCAGATACGATAGTAGAGGGAGGTTTCCATCCATTTTGAACACTAATCCAAACATTCTCATCTATGGACTTAAGGAATGCACGCATCCTAACCTTCCAATATGCATAATTACTTTCGTCGAAAAACGGAGGTACAGACAGCGATTGACTCATCTAGACAACTATGGGTCAGGATTCGGGATTAGGCTCTGATACCACTTGAAAAACTTATCGTTCGACCCAACTAACACCTAGAGGGGGGGCTGAATAGGTATTCTTGCGGAATTAAAAACTTTTTCAACAATTCATGCAACAAGTCACACAAATTATAATTAGTCTAGATTAATTCACATGCTTTATCTACTTATGTTGAATTACCGTTGACAAGTAAATAAATTAAAGCGGTAAAAACACACCAAACATGTTGACGGAGAAACCCAATATGGGAAAAAGTCCGAGCACAAGCCAGTAGAGATCCACTATGTAGAAACCAACTTACAGCACACCAGACTCAATTGACCCTCTCAATTTTTCTGACCTCCTTGCTGTATGAAATCAAGACCCTCCTGGATTTGCAGCTCCGTGCTAAATCCCAGCCTTGTACAATTTCTACCTCCCGTGAATCGCCACGCACTCCAGCTCTTCAAGCAAGTCCTTCCCGGATCTTCAAACTGATGATCTTCTGGAAGTTTAATTGGAGTTGAGAAACAGGGGTTTTGGTGTTTGTGTATTTGATGTTTTTACTCAACAAGCCATGGATTTGGATGAACACTATGAAAGGTTTTTGGCTTGTGTTCCTTGGAGAAGAAGGATTTTGATTTTAGGTTGCCAAGGATTTGAAAGAAAATAATCAAAGTGATTTCAATGTGTATATTCGGGTTAATGAACACGAATTGGACGTTTGGTATTTATAGAGGTCGACACATGGTAATGTGGAGCGTCAAATATTCACGAGCGTTTAAAATTAGGTTTGGCTAGATAACATGGTCGCTCGAGCGAGGTCTTAGCGAGCCTCGAGCGACGTGTCTTCCGCTCGAGAAACGGTCCAGCGTCTGTCCAGCGAAGTTGTTTCTGCAATTGGGGCTCGAGCGAGGTCATGGCGTGACTCTAGCAAAATCACCACGCCGTTTGCATCTTCGAGGCATCCCACACAACCCTAGACAAGCCTACAAACTTTGGTTAATTGCAACTCTAGTCCCTGAACTATTGAACGTTGACAATTTGGTCCTTGACCTTACAATTTTGACAATTTGATCCTTGACTTTACAATTTTGACATTTTGGTCCTTGGTCACAGATTTGCCAATTACATATATTCCTAACAAATAGCAATGTTCACTCTGTATGAACCATGCTACATGTACAATATGATGTACATTTTAATTTAAACTTTGCCATGTGACATTACCCCTCTGGACAATTTAAATTTCAAAAAGTTTTCCCATCCAATTGACACTTGACAACATTGCAAGGGTAAAAAAAGTGTCAAAAATCTTTGTACAAATAACAAAGTTCAATCGTTAAGAACCTTACTACATGTACACTATGGTGTACACTTTTGTTTACACTTTACCAACAT